GCATCTCTTTTTTTTTTCAAGCCTAATAACATTTAAACATATACCCTGACTTAAAACAAACAAACACAAACAAACAAAAAACCCTTTCACTGGACAAGAATTTCCTTTTTAAATAATTTATTTAATATTCATTCATGCATATAGTGTATTTTGACCAAATCTACTGAATTCTCTCCCCTTCAGTTGCTTCCCATCCCCCAACCCCTTTTTTTCCCTCCCAGCTCTCTTTCTTTCCTTTAATTTAGTACCTTTAAGGTAATACTCTCCAGGTCAATTTACTGCTGCCTATATGTTCACAGGTATGGGAACATCTACTAGAACATGGGAAATGACAGATATTTGCTTGCTTATTGAGGAAGAAGCACAAGACACTAGATCATCCACAAATATGCTTACAAGTGTATAACCAGGATTTCAACTATTTCTGTATTGAGAAGATCAGCAATTGGTTGAGCACTTACATTAATAATAACCACCATCATATCATCCATAGTGGTTATATTTATATTGCTGTGAAAAAAAATAACCCAGCAAGAGCAACCTAAGAGAAAACATGTTTCTTTTGTCTCGGGGTCCCAAGGAGATCCAGTCCTTCATGGCAGGGGAGATATGGCAGGAAAAGGAAGCTCTCGGGCCACAGTGCCCTTGCAGTCAGGAAATAGCATGAACAGGAAGTAAGGCCAGGCTGTAAAGCCTGAAAGCCTGCCCCTCATGGCCCACTTCATCCACGGAATGTCTACCTTCAGAAGGTTCCATAACCTTCCCAAATAGGACCTCCAGCTGGGCATCAACCCTTCAAGCTTATGAGCCCATGACAGCCTTGTCTCTTCAAACCACAGCAGCCAGTTATATAGTAAGTGCTTAGCTGGGATCCTTGTGTCTATCATCTTTAACATTACCCCTAGTTACACTCCGTGAGTGAGATCACATTATTCTCACCCCCATTTTACAGCTGAGGGATGTAAACACCATGATCTCGTGAGGGCTGAGCTCATATAGTTAGTAGCATGTACAGTGACAGCCTGGGTCTTACTGATTTTAAATTCCTATTCTCTGTTTTCAAATCTGTCCTTGTTTGTAAGTTAATATACATGTTATTAGACACCACTATGGCATTTTCAAACAAACATTTTACTTTTCTCTCCTCCCATGTCACTCCGCTCCTTCCTGACCCCCTTCCTGTATTCCCTCTTCCTTCCCAGGCTCCATCATGCTCTGTGTGTCATATGTGTCCTCAGATCTAGAAAGTAAAGTATTAATTGAGATGACTCAAACTCAGAAATGCAAACGCTTGCTTGTTTTTCCCCCCATATGGATATCCCACATTGTAACTCACATACACACATACACAGAGCTTTAAATATAGGTGATGGGTTTCACATTTAACCCATTAGTTAAGATATGCGGAGCTTTCATATCTATGTTCCTGTCATAATCTTTTACTTTAAAGAAGCACACATGACTAACTGCTTCTAACTCATACTGTTTTTCTATCAGAAAGTGATGGAGGCTTAAGGAGATCAGAGGCTTCCCCTGCAGCATGGCCCCAGTTAGGTCTTTAACCAAGTAACTGAGATTGGATAGTCACACACACACACACACACACACACACACACACACACACACACACACACACACACAAACACACACACCAGATCCCTGTGGTCCTATCTCCAGTGCCCATCTGCAGCCCAACACACCCTGCCGTTTCCCATCTGATTATTTCACCCTTATAGAAAAGCAGCTCCCTGAGAAAATAGCCAATTTTCTCGTGATAAACTTGCCTATCATTTTGTAATATAGATTTCCACTTTGTCCCAGTAATCCTAAAGCTCCAGGGATATAAGGCACATTAGTGTTATCACTGATTTCACATTGACCTTCCTTAGGAATCTTTAACAACATGAGATCATTTGTATCGGTTCAGAATGGGCTTTTAGTTTTTAATTTAAAATGAATGAAATTACCTGCTATTTATCTCAGGGTACTATTAGAACTTAGCCTGAGATTTACATTTACAAATGGGCAATTTCTCATGGGAGAATGTGCTCTCTCCTCTCTCTCTCTCTCTTTCTCTCTCTCTCTCTCTCTCCCTCTCTCTCTCCCTTTCCCTGATTCCTTCCTCCCCTCCCTGCATTTCTCCTTTTCACCATCCCTCTGTCTCTCCTTCTGTCCATCTGTCCCTCCCTTTCTTCTTTCTCAGTCTGCTTCTATTTTTCTTCTGTCCACCACTTTCTTCTTTTCCACCACTCCGTCTCTTTCTCCTTCTGTATTGGTCTCATTTTACACCTCTTTTCTCTTTTTTTTTCTCTACTAAACATCTATCAGACTACCCACTGCCTGTAACGGTGACTAACACTGGGATTTGGAGAGCATCTCAGGGTAGTTTCCAGGTTGGTGTACCCGTAGAAAGACTTGAACGGAGACTCACAGTTACCACACAAGCAGGCCAGTCTATTAAGGACAGAGAATCTTTGAAGGGAGGAGCAGGCCAGGGCAGGGAGACACTTGAACATCTTGAGGGCCTGGCTGTACTGAGTCAGGGCGTTTATGTGACGTCAGCAATAGTTTTCTTAGATCATTGTTGTAGCATGGGTCTTCTCACTCATACTCCTTTACTGTAAGTTATACACACAGCATCATTACGCTCCATTAGTAAGCATCCTATCAGTTTAATTTATTTATTTAGTGTGTTGGGGTAGGGGCACGAACATGCCCCACTGAAAGCATGGGGTATCAGAGAACACCTTTCAGGAATGGGTTCCTTCCATCATATGCAATTAAACTCAGATCATCAGGTTTCATGACAAACATCTCTCCCCACAGAGCCATCATGGTATCAGAAGTATTTACTTAGCAGTGCTGGAAATCAAGCCCAGGACAGTGTCAATGATGGACAAACAATTGTCAGCTGAGCTACAGCCCTGGCCCTTTAGCTTTAATCCTCTGCTAGGGGTATAGCTTTAGTAATATAATAATCCAGAAGCTGCTTTCATATACTACTCTGGAATGCCCCTGTACGTTTTAGTCAGCCTTCTGGGAGGTTGGAAAAGCCCCAGTTTAGCTCTTTGCTAGTTTGATTTTTTTATGCATTAGTTCTGAATCCTTGCCATGAGGCTTCTCAGACCTCTCTGTCCACCCTGACCTCCTGGCTTTCCTGTAGTACCTACGTAGACCTCAGGTTGATTAGAAAATCCAGTTTGTTTAATTACACTCCACTACACATGCAGGGAGCAGGTGAACTTAATTGTCATTTGGGGTCTTCTGTTCTGTGGATAGCCCTATCCTAGTGGTCTCCAGGCTAACCTGTAGAAATTGGAATCATCCAACTAGCTCCCTAGGACTGTGCACCTCCCTCGTGTGTGTGTGTGTGTGTGTGTGTGTGTGTGTGTGTGTGTGTGAGAGAGAGAGAGAGAGAGAGAGAGAGAGAGAGAGAGAGAGAGAGAGAGTGATAAGTCTTACTTTCCTGTGAACAATAAAGTCTATTCCATTGGTCACTTAGACAAAGTTTTGCTAGTTTTCTTCATGGTGATCCTCCATGGATTTGTGCTGGAGTATAATGGTCTTTCCAACTACAATGAAAACAGTGAATATAGGTTGGCTTTTTTCTCCCTGATACATAGACATTTTGCAGTGACTTTTATTTAGGGTGGCTAAAAAATAAATTATCTCTCCTCTCTCTCTCTCTCTCTCTCTCTCTCTCTCTCTCTCTCTGTCTGTGTGTGTGTGTGTGTGTGTGTGTGTGTGTGAAACATGGGACATGTGCACCAAATAAGCTTTTAATGATTGCAGCCCCTAGCTGAAATTTATATTGGACTTCCAAGGACTGTGTATCTTAGCAGTCTACCATTGTGCTGACACAAACACACACACACACACACACACACACACACACACACAAATGAAATTTTAAGTTTCTCCATAGTTCTTGTTTGTCCATCATGGATTGTTTCATTTTGCGCCTGTGCACAAAGTTTAAGTGGGCAGGTAGGAGAAATGTGCTCTGTGTAGGGGATGTCCTCTTAGGACCCAATGATATAATGCATTTTCGCATATGCTCACATTTCCTTCATGCCCTCACTCAATAGAAAATCAGATTGAAATGAAGGGTGAATGAACTGTAACACCAATTGAGAGAATTACAGCCTATTTTGACCTGCCTGTAAAATGATTGGTTTCTTTCCTCTTGAGTCTTGGTTCAAGTGACAGAATGCACATACTCAAGCTATCGTTGGTTTTCTATAAATTGGTGGGATTTTGCTTAAGAAGAGAACCATAATCATTTCCATTAAACTATCTAATGAACTGTTTCATCTCCAATCAAGCAATTGGTTCTATCAGCTGCACTGGTCAGCTTTACTGAAGGTCTTCTGTATCTTGTGTGCTCTGTTCATGCTTCCTAGAGCCCATCTCCCACACCGGGAGTTCATCTCCAATGCAGTACCAGGCTTATCGTAGTTAATCTTCTGGCTTCCTTTTTCCTCCTTGAGTCCTCATGTATTTCTGACTCCTGTATCCTTATTAGTCATCGCCACTTCCAACTTCTCTTCGTAAAATCCACTCGCTGTTATTTCAAAGGTCTCCGTCACACTTCTCCCCGTCCTTATACCTGGTCCAAGCTTCCTTACTGTTCTTACTCTAACTCCATTTTCCTGTCTCCTGGATTTTCCTTCCTTGTCTCCACACCAACACCAGTTCACTTCATGGCATGGCCAAAAGGAAATGCAGAGATAAAAGGGTTAAGTTTAGGGTAATTTAATCTGAGCTGTTAGATGTATTAAAGACTTTCTCATTGGTGTTAAAAAGCATGATTTAACACAGTGAATGAAATTCTTTGCCACCAGCTCTGTCATGCTTTGGTAAACTGGACTTAAAAGGCCCTTCTTGCACGGGCATTTCAGAAGCGCCAGCTTTGCAGTATTGGTTACCCACAGATCTCCAAGTTCGCTATGCTGTCAGCATCCTCTCTACTCACCTGCCTCTCTGTGTTTCTCTTGCAGGTGAGACAATGCGGATCGCCTCCTCTGAGTTTGCTGATGACCCTTGCTCTTCGGTCAAGCGTGGCACCATGGTGCGGGCAGCACGGGCTCTGCTATCGGCTGTGACACGCTTGCTAATCCTGGCTGATATGGCAGATGTCATGAGACTTTTATCTCATCTGAAAATTGTACGTATGTAGACCTCTTGAAGACCTTGGGGCGGGGTGGGGAGGGGAGCAGCTGGGAAGGATTAGACATGCTCTACTGCTCATAGCCTGATTAAACTCGATTCCTAGTGTAACACCAAATTTTTCTAATAGCGCCTTTATAGCTCATAGAGCATTCAAAACAGATAAACTTCATTTGAGTCATCTCCCTACCTCCAAGCATAGAGTTTTGGCTCTTTGCTTCATAGAGTACATGGCATAGTGTTCTTAGAACAAAAGAGATTGGCATATACTAATTTATTTGTGCAATGATAATATATATATACATATTATAATATATATGTATATGAAATAAAACAGTGTCCTGTTCATATCTATATCTCTTCCCAGAGACTCCAAAGTCCCTGGTAACTGTCACAAACCCTGGATTTTTTTCTCCCAGTCTTTACATGATAAGGGACAAAGCAAGGGGTTTCTCCATGAACCATATGATGGCTGGCTGGGTCTCCTTCTGGGAAAATGCCTGCCTGCTTCTGTTAGGGTCTTCTCTTCTTTGCCAGTGAAGAGAGCAACTTGTGATGGGGCAAAGTGGTAGAGGAGGTGAACACTGAGAACTCACCTCACCTCTTCTGTGTCAGATCTGTTCAACTGGAGAGACCAGGGCATCAGAACATTTAAGTCCTAAGTCTTAGCTGCCAAGAAATCTGTCTAGAATTTATCAGACTGGATCCCAGCATAAGGCCAAAGATTCAGTTTATGTACAACCTCCTCAAAAAAAAAAAAATGTTGTTAATCAGGAATTCTAGTTTTTTTGTTTTTCTTTTTTATGAATTCTGTGACTTTAATCCTAAAACAGGGTGAAACACTTCATGATTTCCAGTCAGCTCCCAGAGAAGCCAAAGAATACAAAACAGAATGTGTTTAGTGGGGAGGTTGCTGTTAATTTTTTTTTTCTCAAAGAACAGGACCACAAATGCTACAGAAGGCTGTTGAAGACTCATGAAGTGCACAGTTCGCGAAGGATCCAGCTTTTCAAAATAAAAATAAAATTAAAATTAAAAAATAGGGCAACAATACAATGTTAAGATGAACTGTTTGGCCACTAGATTCAAGCTAACATGGTTTAATCCCAGTGTGTGCTTCAGCTTGCTGGCTCTTTGGTACCCAGCAGAAATGCTGCCTTCCAATGGATGGTGATGTCCCTGGAGCCTTTGCAGGATGCAGCTCTGACTGGCCCTCCTCCACCATTTGCACCTTTTGTGATACTAATACTTTTTACTCAACTTGTGTGTGGGGGGTGGTCTTCTTTCCTCCCTGTCCTGTTGGCCATCAGGTCAAAGAGGGGAAAGGGAGATGGGGACAGATGTGGCCCATGAGCACAATTGGAGACAGCCTTCCAGGAGACAGATTTCAGTGAACCAACTCAATTTTATTCCAGAGTATAAGGAATAAATAGGATTGGGGAGCCTGGGGACAAACCCTAATTTGCATTAAGTGGCATTCTCCTGTCACATGGCTTAGGAGGTGGCAGTGGGGGTGGGGTCCCGTAGCAGAGCTCCTAGCACAAGCCTTCTCAGGAGGGTCACGCTACAGGCGAATCAGGCATCTGGTTTAGAGACAGCTTTTAGATACCTCCATGCCCATGGCCACTCTGTAAATAAGGGCAGGGAGGGACTCCACTTGCCAAGCTTACTTACTTAGATAAGCTGCTAGGCCCTGGTGAGGCTGTGGCCCTGTCTAGCAGTGTCTCCCAACATCAACTGTGATAGAGAAAGGGTTTTAGGATCCTTACCTTACACACTGCTCAGACTTCAAAGGCAACGTTTGAAGAATAATATTTCTTCTGCCGCAGTCTTTCTCAACAGTGTGTTAATGGGACTGAATTAAAATGATGTATCCCATTTCTCATTGTAGGCAATGCTGGTAGGTAGCCCACACAAGGAACCTGTTCTGTATATTTTTGAGAATTTTATACATGAGTACTGTATTTACATCATTTATACCCTCCTCCTACATCCTCCAACTCCTCTCTTGATCCCTACTTTTTAAGTTTATGACCTTTTCTTCTTTAATTATTCTTGGTGTGTGTGTGTGTGTGTGTGTGTGTAAAAAGATAGGCAGGCAGACAGATAACCTACTATGTTCATTGAGTGTCATTTATATGCACATGTGTTTACGGCTGATCTCTAGGGATTAAATAGCCCGTCAGGGTTCTTGTCTTTGGAGAAGACAATTCACCTGCAACAGCCAAGGGAAATCTGTTCCTCTAAAAGCAGGGTCTTTTGAAATATTCAGGTCGCGTCGAGTCACCCGTGTTGTTGAGATTGCACGGGCGCCACTTCCATGTTGGACACTAAGCAGACACCCTTACCTGCTCTTCTGGCTCTTATACTCTCCCCTTTCTGGAAATAACCTGTGGGTATCCTGTATCTTGGCCTTTCAGCTTTCCCTTTGTGTTCCCTGATACTCAGGTGCGGAGGCTGCAGGTGTGACAGTTGGTGCTGGATAACTTACAGTCACATACTCTCTGCAGTTCGCGCAGTTGTGGATCACTGCATTGCCCTCCATCTGTTGAAAAATAACTGCCTTTGATTTAGATGAGACATAAGCTTCTCTGTGGCTATACAGTTAGCTACCTAGAATTCAGTTAGAAATTATACTCATTTAGGAAGATGGCAGTTAGTGGGCTTTCCTCTGGAGTGATTGACTGCTCCAGACGTCCGTGTCTGTGTACCTGTGCCGGGCCTGGCATTCACGTGACACTACTTGCCTAGTGTACACAAAGCTCTGGTTTACTCCCTAGCACCACATAAACCTGGCATGGGGCATGAATCTTAGGAGGGGAAAGCATGGGGATCAGAAGATAAGGGCAGCTAAATCTAAAGCTTGTGGCCAGCCTGGGATGCATGAGCCTATGTCGCTAAATAAAAAGATAGATTAAAAAAAATACAATTATGCAAATAAGCCCGTCAGTCACTGTCTACAATGCCAGATCCTGCCTCCTGTCTGTGATCAGGTTCCCCCCTCCCCCCTCTCCCTTCTTCCTGCTCTTTTGACCAATGTTATTGACTGATACCTCTCCAGCCAGTTGTAAAGTCAATTGCAGTCTGTCCTCCACACAGCAGTGAAGGAAGTTAAAGGAAAGGATTTAGCACAAAATCATGCAAAGGTCAACGTCAACCCAGCAACGTTAAGCGGGCCTGTCAGTAGTAAAATTAAAAATGATTGTAGCCTAGATAATGCATTTGTTATCAGACCACAGCAGCAGAGGCGGTGGAATGGTGCCATCTTGTGGGCTTACGAGAACTGCAGTTTCTCTGGCTGACATGAAGTTGGAGGCTGTGTCCCCTCTTGCTTTCAGACTAGTTCTGGTGTCATTGCAATGAACTAACCTGTCAAGCCAAAACCCCTGCCAAAGATTGTAACGAGTACGGTTTTTCCGCCTGCTGCCCGGTCTTGTCCTGCTACCATGCCACCAGCCCCAAATAACACACAGAGACTCTGTATTTGATACAATACTGTTGGCCCGGTTACTTGTTACTTATCGGCTAGCTCTGCCTTTAATTATTAACCCATTTCTATGTATCTTCACATGGCCTTCTCTTACCGGGGAGGCGGCTGGCGTCCTGCTCTCTCCAGACTCTCCATCTTGACTCCTCCTTACTACTTCCTATATCCTCCTTGTCTCCTAGTCCCTCCTATCTTCCTTTCCTATTGGCCAACAGTGCTTTATTATTAACCAGTATGAGAAACGTATATACATAATGGCATCTCCCATCATCTCCTCTTTTCTGTTTAAATAAAAAGAAGGGTTTTAACCTTAACATAGCAAAATATATCACATAACAGTTATCAAATAAGAATCACAGTTAACATTATTTAGTCCATTAACATTTAGCAAGATTTAAGAAAACATTCCATCATCTATCCCATCTTTGTGTCTAAAGTCTAACTTATCTTTAATAAAACTATAACCTTAACTATCTGTCTTCAACTCCCTCAAAGACCACAGAAGGATAATATTTAAACTCTAGAAATGACAGAGACAACTCACTGCCTGGTCACCCAAAGTTCTTTTGTAATCTTCCATCTTCAGCCCATAGGCCATAGTGTGTCTGGCAGACTCTTCAGCAATGCAGGAAACTTTAAACTGTCTTCTTGTATTGGCAGTTTATCAGTCATTTTTCTCTATGTCCTGCATACTGTCTCGAAGACTCTTCCATGAAGCAGGATCTCTGTAGCAATGTCCATCTTGAATCAGGAGTCACTTTCCTGTGGGTCCTGCATGTCCAGTTTATACATCACAAAGTCAAACAGTCCAGACAAGAGCAGTATCTTGTCCAAATGGCTAGTCTTGCCATATTGGAAGCAAACGTCATAATGCATTTCTTCGATGTCCATCTTCCTTTCTGGTGCAGGTGGTATTGCCAAGAGCAATTATGTCTCACTGTCACGAAAACCCTAATCCATTTTAAATGCCATATTCTGTAGGTCTTTGAAAGGTTTGAAGAATGCCTATCTATCTCAAATACATCTCTGTATATCTAGAAAACTTAACTAACTTAACTATATCTGACTATCATAGATACTATCTATAATCTGTATTGAATTATACATTACATTTCTAAACAATACTTAAACAAGAGGAGAAATATATATATCACAAAATTGACCTTAAATTGTATCAATAAATGAAAATCCATTCCAAAACAAAGTATTCATATCTATACCATAATTCCCTTTATACCTTTAAAAAGAATTTGGCTGTGATCATTAACCATTTATAACCAAGTCCATTTAAATGAAAACAAACATTTATAAACAATATTTGGGAATTTGGGCGTCGTTCTTTCCAAACTACTTCCTGCTGACAGGGGGTGCTGTCATGGGGGATCCTGAGAAGAGGCAGAAATCCTGGCTGTAAGTCTGCGAGGCTGCTTTGTCCAGCTGTTTTGAATGGAGGATCACCAGCGACTGTTTCAGGGGGCCTGGCTTGCTCAAACCACATTAGTCTGCAAGGA